AAAACAGTTCAATTTTGGTTCTCTAGCCCAAAAGCTTATTCTGAAAAATTTCAAACATGCAGATAAATTTAAAGAGTAAGATAGTGAACACTTAAATGCCATCAACCTGGATTCTGTAGTACTTAATCTTTTGCTGTGTTTCCTTTGTCACTTAAGTGTCCATATACGCATCCCTTGGTCCATTCTACTTTAGAGCATTTAAAAGTGGGAACACACGCAATACTCCTGGAACTTCAAAGTGCTTGTCATTAATAAATTTAGACTTTAGGCTTTTAGGTGAAATTGAAATGCATGCCTTTTAAGTGAACTATTCCATATTTTTGGAAAATGCAAACTTTATGTAACTTAAAGCCGTATCAAAATACAGGACATTTTCATCATTAGAGGGGATTTCTTCATACAGTCCCCAGTCAGGCCCTGTCCTTACCTATCAACCTCACCCTCTGTGGCCAGTAATCTTACTTTTTCACAATTACATTATCCATCAGAATATCTTTCTTTCCTCTTTGAATATTCAGCTTATTTAGAAAAGTTATACATTTTTAATGATTAAGTTGTATGTGTTCCTTATATATTGCAACACTAATTCTGTGCCAGACATATGTTTAACAAATATTTACTCACAGTATCTTAAAAGTGTCATTTGATGGGCCTAAGGTTTTGACTTTCCTGAAGTCTAATTTTTTCTTTTGGTTTCATACGTTTTATAGTCTAAAAAAGTAGCCCACAAAGATATTCTTTGACATTTCATTCAGTAATTGTATAGGTTTAGCTTTTATGAAGTTTATAGTTGATATCTTGTGAATATTTCTGTGTGAAACTGGAATCGATTTCTTGTTGATTTTTTTTTGAATCATAATTAGAACCCGCACCCCATGGCTGTCTAGCAATTAAAGTGCCATTTGTTGAAAAGTTTTCCTGTCCCATCAAAGTGCCACCTGCTGTCATTTAGACCCTGACTGTACCCCAGCATCCCATGTACTGAAGCTTGTACCCAGCCCACGGAGCTACTGAGAGATACTTTGCCACAGATGGAAATCTAAAACACCATGGCAGTAAATATATCGGTCAATTTGGGATAACTGACAATATTATAGAATTCATGAACCCAGTGTACCTGCCATTGATTTAAGTCAATACTCAATCATTTTTTATAGTTCTTACAGAAGTCACCCTCAAGTTTTAAAAATTTATTCTACATGTTTTATTGTCAGTAAGCTGTTGTAAATAGTATTTTTAAATTTTCATCCTCTGATGGTTTCTGCTTGTATGTGAATATACAGAGATCTGTGATCATGCTAACTTTACTTTATTAGTTCTGACTGTTTCATAAATCCTTTAGGGTGTTCAGCACAACTATTCTATCTGTGACTAGGGTGTTACACCTTCCTTTCTAAACTCCATGTCTCCTTTTTATTTTGCTTACATTGTTACACTAGCTAGGATCTCCCATAAAACACGAAGTAGAAATGTGGATATCTTTCTCTTCTGATTTCAAGGGAAAATGTTCAGTATCTTAATACTAAGTCGAATGTCTTGGTCACTTTCCTCATTCCTAGGGCAAGATACCCAACACTCACTGTTGGAAGAAGGGGAGGTTTATGTTGGCTTGTTTCAGTCTATCATTGACTGATGCCAAGGCAGAAACAGAATGGCAGAGGATACAGTGTTCAACCATGACATCCAGGAAGCAAGGAGAAAAGGGAAGAGCTGGGGACAAGATTGCACCCTTCTGGGTCCTGCCCGGTGACCACCTTCTAACAGGACATTAAGCTATGGGCTCATGGTGAATGAACCAGTAGGTTACCCCACGTGTCATCCTTGAGTACCTTGCCAACTGAAATTGTAGATTTTTCTCCAAATTCTAGTTGTCCTGCTGCTAAAAAAAGCCTCCAAAATGGAAAACTTTCAGTGATGTTTCTTTCTTATAGATATTCACTTTTGTCTTTGCTTGACGTCATTGTTCCCCATAGTTGTTTTTTTAATGATTTTTCTAAAATTTGTAGTTGTTTTCTGTGGCAGTGTTATGTTGATACATTGTGTCAACTTGAGAAGTTTAGAAGTTTAACTGATACCACAGAGAGCTCCAGGTTCTTACTTTGTAAATATCCTCATCCTGTGCAAAGGAAGGCAAGGAGATTTTGTGAGAGCTACATGCCCTGAGTGTGGGGTTGGCCTGTGTACAACGTACGGGAGGAGAAGAGGCTCATTCTCCCCATTTTTTGTTATTGTTGCTTTGCTGTCTTCTGCTGCCTTGAAGTGTTGTCCTAGTGCCATGCCACCCTGCCTTGGAGCCAGCTGATTATGGACTGAAACCTCCACAAACTGTAAGCTAAATAAACCTTTCCTGCTTTCATTTTGGGCGTTGGGTGTTTTGTCCCAGCAAGTAGAGAAAAGTAACCAAGACATGGAGGTTTGGTCTGACAGAGCTGCTTCACTATTATTAGAGTTGGAACCCATATTTTTAAGCAGTGTGATCAAAACAGTGGGACTGTTGCCAAAAGGAGACATTTGAAGGAAGAAAAGGGCTTAGTTAAGGAAAATGTCCCCTCAGCTAGAGAAGAATCAGTGGGCATGGTGAGACTTTGGGCCTGTGAGACGGATTATGGGGAGGCGCTCAGGCTTTTTCCAAAGGATTGTGTGCAGGTGGGAAGAAGAAAAGTGGGTAGCACAACGCCAGGATATTTTGGCAGTTAGCGCAGAGGGAGAGGTTGATATTAACTGAGACAGAGAAGCGAATCTGTTTCATCACACAGGGTTTGTGTCCTGAAAGCCTCACATTTATGAGAGTCAGAGATGGAGAATGAATTCAACAGCGTGGTCGGGTAGCTAAGCTGATGTGGAAGGCACAGGGAAGAAGCATCATTTCAGTCTGTGAGGAGCAGACACAGTCGAGCCGTGTGCTAGAGGATGAGTAGGAGGTAATGATTGGGAAGGGATGTATTAGTGGGAAAAGCGTCATGAGAAATGAAAGTGCAAACATGGTGCTTAGCTGGGGCGTGGGGAGTAGGAGAGCCTGCTATGAGCAGCGCAGCAGGCGGGTGCTCGAAGGGGCTGGGGCACTCACTGAGGAAGCGAGAAGGAGAAATGGTCAGGTTAGAGGACACGTGGCTGGCCTCGCCCATGAGACCGAGCTGCCCAGCAGGCGTGGATGGAGTGGAAGCCCTTCAGGGCAGTTTGTGGCTCAGCTAGAAGCACAAAATCTATTTTCCTTACTGAAGTTTCACAAGGAGAAAACAGGAGCTGTAAAATCTTTCTCTTCTTTGCACATGCTTAGATGGGTATCATCCACTCCAGGAGGAGTTGTACTTGAAGCCCAAGAAGAAGCAGTATTTTCCTTGGAGTAGTTTAGGATTATCACACATCTCACTAGCGTTGGCAGAGGGAGGCCTCTCTGATTTTACTTTTTGAAAGTGGTTAGTATGTAACATGACCTCTGTATGGGGCAGACTAAAAACTATAGTTTTATAGCAAACCAGTATGAGTTAGAATTCTAACCCCCACCCTTCTTGCAGTAGTTAAGTTCATATTGGCTTGAGTCTCAAACTGTGAGCTTCATTTTCTAAATAAAAATACCTTTTCTGTTTCTGACCCTACTAACTATGAAGGTCATTGTACGTCATTATTCAAATTAAAGTAGGCTAATTAAAATTCTCCATTTTCTCCATTATATGCTGAAAGGTAGATCTTTTCTGGGAAAGGATGCTGGTGAAATTTGATCTACTCTTGTAGGACTGGGAGGAGCTAGCCAACAAGCCAACTGGCCAGCCCTTCTGGAAAGTGGAGCAAGCCTTGAGGGGCCCAGGAAGAGAAAAGTGCCTTCTATGAGCCTACTGGCAGGCTGAGAATCACCAACACCCCCACCCTCCCCACCCCCCCACCAGGCAACCAGCTGGTCTGAGAACAGGCTGGTTTGATAGCAAGGAAGGTACAAAAAGCAACTGAGTGCCTGTGTCGTTTGGTTGACTTTGCAGGCCTAGGGCCGGCAAAACACAGAGCCTTTTGCACTGAACTACCTCCCCAGCCCTTTTTAAATTTTTGCTCTTTATTTTGAGACAGGTCTTACTAAGTTGCAGTATTTCCCAGGCAGGCCTCAAACTCATGATCCTTCTATCTCAGCCTCAGCCTCTCTTTGTGCTGGGCTTATCAGGCCATGCCACCCTGCTTGAAAACATAGCTACTTAGGAACAGTTCTGACATGTGTTTTTATAAAGTTTTAAAAGGTTATGTTGAATCAGCAACTATTGTGCAGTAGATTCACATATCAAATATATGTTATTTTAATATTTTGGGCACATGGTTTAGTTGTTGGCTTAGTGGTAACCTAAGCTACTCTGTATAGAACAGAAACAACCTATATACTTTATATTTCTATACTTACTTTTACAAATGAAATAGCATCCACTATCTTCTGCCTTCCTTTTGTATGGTGGATTTCATTGTGCACGCACATGCATGTGTGTGAGATTTACATATATGTAATTCAGGACAAGGCTGGGAACCAATTGTATTGTGACTGTTTTGTACCCTGGTGAAGCCCTTTTAATGTGTGGTACCCAAAGATCCTAATAGCTTATTAGTGTCATGTCTTGTAGTGGAAAAACACCATTTGAAGCATGTTTCAGGGACTGTTCAAATGTTTACTTTGCTTTTTGATTGCTTTATTATTCTTGTAGGATCATACATGTGGGGCTTAAACTCTCTAATTAAGCAAACTTGCTGAGGTAAAAACCTCAGGCCCAGCCTCTCTCGGCTCTCCCTGGGCAGTCTTACTTCGCATGTGTCCCCTTTCTCCAGCCCAGCTCCCGGGCCCGTAGAAGCACAAGCTCCAGTAGCAGTGGATCCCAGACTGGCTCACTGTTTTGGTGGCCAGAAGAGAGTGATGCCTGCACATCTTCCTGGAGCTAGTCATCTGTGACCTGACTGCAGATCCCATGTTCCGTATTCCAGCTTTCCACAATGCCACGGTTTAAGAGAGACCATTTTCATTTCTTTCTCAGATCACATGGAGCGAACAGTGTGAAGTGGAGTTGCCCCAGGAAAAGATGTGCATGGGTTCCATGTTATCATTGTGGGAGGCTGTGCCTGGACCAGCGTTCCTTCATGCCTACTGCTGCTGGTGCTGTATCGGAGATCATCGGAAAGATGGGTTGGGAACCCGGGGTCTCAGGGCACAGGTATCAGTGCCTAAACTGAGCACTTGTCCATTGCTTTGATGGAACTGCCTCAGCCCTGTAGAAGTGGCTAAGCATGATGAGCTATAAAACACCAGTCTGTGGGCAGACATAACGCTATAGAAATCAGAAAAGAATCCAAAATAAAAAGATTTCAAGAACACTTGCCAAGTTTCAAGTGACTGCAGTTGCAAGTTTTGAGGGGTGAATTTTACATTTATGACTTCCTATGTGTAAACTAAATTTCATGCATTTTGATGAATCCTTTCCACAATGGATGCATATTACATGTCTCCTTACTATAGTAATGTGGTAGTCCTACAGGAATCACCTCTGTTGCCCTGGTTCCTGTTGCAAGGATTCCCCTTGAGTTAGTCTGCACAGTCCTGTTCCTCACTCAGGTGTACAGAGCTGATCACCACACTGTGAACCGAGCCCAGTGACCCGCAGTAACACCTGCCTGGGTGTAGGGATCTTCCTGGAACCCTGCCTGCCATTTCTCATAGCATCTTTGTCTCTTTAATCTGAAATTTTCTAATGGACAAAAAATTTCCAAGAGAAAGCAGATGCTAGGATCATACATTTAGGATATCAGTACTGGGAAAACCATAGTTCTGACTTCTTTTACTTATTCTGAGCCCATAAGAGCTAGGGTATGTTAAACCTGCAGGCTGTATCTTTTGCAGCCTTCTCTCTCTCTAAGTTTAACTCTTTTTTCCTATGGAATAAAGTACATGAGCTTTGTGAAAAATGCCCTTTGCCCATCTTATTTTATCCTGCCTTTGCCTATTAAGTCTTATTTTGTTACTTGGCATATTTTATAATTAGTAGTTAATGTATAGTAAGGCTCTTCACTTCTAACTCTTCATGTGGATTGCAGTGTTTAAGAGTAATTTAGTGGTAACTTGAAGGTGTTTGTGGTTTTTAAATGGGATATAATTAGAGTGGAAAAAAGTGACAAATCCAAGAAGCATAAAAGGAAATACTCATAAATAATTTAATTCACGCGTGCAGGAAAGAAGCCATATCAATTCAGATTTAATTAGAGCTTTCTAAAGGATGCTTCACTTGACCGCTCAGATGCACACTGCTTGTTGATTCTGCATTTAAGTCAAACTCTGTACTTGAAGGAATTGAGATCTTTGGGCAGAATGTGGCTGTGGCGGGAAGATCCAGGTGTGTGGGTTATGCTGCTGCACACAGATGGAGGCCATGAGTGACCAGGTGGGTGGACCCCAGCATCACAGCGTCCATGGCTTCCTCCCTTCCCAGGGCATCAAGTAAGAGTCCTTGATGATGGGAATTTGCATAGTTCTGGGTTATGGAATTAGTTTCCTTCATTCCTTATCTAACAGTGTGAATGCCCAAGTAGTGAATAAACGAATTGCTGGAAACATTTGGCTCCTTTATTCTTCTTATTTCTTTTGGTCACATATATTTCTTTAAATCATTAATCGTGTAAAGAAAAGTGAAGTGTCATTTAAAAATTAGATACATAAAAGTCACATTACAGAAAGTTCCCAAAATCTTGGGAAAATGGATGTAGAATTCCTAAAATAGCAAATCCTGATATTTCACAGGACAGCAGGTTAGTCCACTTTATAGACCGGGGAGTTGAGGCCTAGGCGGGTTAACTGGTCATCTAGTGGGCAAGTGGTCACTGCACTGCCATCTCATCACCATCCCAGCTGCCTCCTAGCTTGATGCCAGCAGTGCCCTCAAGAAAGGGGCTGGCTGGGGTCCAGCAGTGGGACGAAGGGGTGTTGCTCATGGTCACCTGACCAGTGTGGTGGTAGAGAATAAGGTTATGTGGCTCATCACCAGCTGCTGGATTCTGCCTCTTGTCCCAACAGAGCAAAAAGCAAGGTTCACATTATTAGAAGTAGTTATGGGTCTGTGTGTGTGTCACAGATTTTTACTGCTTCCTTTACTGCTGTTTTTAATCTTTTGGGGGATGTTTTTAAGAGGACACTAATCTTTCATATAGCAAGTTCTTCATTGGTGTTTTTAGCACTAAAAATGAGAGGGGGTACTTTTTTACTTTCTAATATTAAACCACAGTAACAGATATGTACTTGCTTGTGTACCACACACACACACACACACACACACCCCATATATAGGTATAACGTTGGTGAATTTTTTCCTTTTCTATGCCTAAGGATTTAAATATTTCAGAAAACAATGTATGTATGGAGACCCTAGTAAGTTAGGGTCTGATAGTAACTCCAGGTAACTTGTTAAATGTCCACTTTTGAAGAGATTTTAGGGGGAAAATCTAGTGATACGTGAGTGTCATCATGTCCATCTCCAAAGCTGCAGTTTTAGTTTCAGCGTTCACATGAGATGCCTCTGTTCCTGCTTATTGATCTTTTGGAGTGTTGTAACCATATTGATTTGTATTTACCTTCACATGACAGTTTATATGCTAAGCAAGGTAAACTAATCAGGAATGCTTATCTAGTATGGTATTTTTTCTTAGAAAATTTTGACCAAGAACTGATAAGTAGGTTTTTCTTTATTTGACATTTTGTTTTCTTATCTCAGTAACCATAGACAGCATAATATGTTTCACGCAGTACTTTCTCATGAACTATCAATGTTATTCTCATTTTTGCAGCTAACGGAAATGAGTTTTAGAGACTTTGGAGAATGTGCCCAGGGTCACATAGGAAGGCGGGGATGCCAGCACAGGAGGTTGGGCTGATTCTGTGTGAGGAGGGCAGGCCTAGACTCGGGCTTGCCATGCTGTGCTCTCAGTATAGGACAGGTCGTTTTATCTGTGTAGACCTACACTTTCTTCATCTGCAAAATGGAAATGATATTAACATCTCCCTTACTTGGCCATTGTGAAATTTAAATGTGATACAAATGGGAAACAGTACTGACAGTGCCTGAGCCACACTGAATCAAGTCTGAGGGTAGGGCAGCTGTTTCTGTAGCTTCAGTTACTGTGGCTAAATTAATAACTGTGCCGTGAGATGCAGAGTAATGTGACTTGAGATGATTTTTTTTCTTTATTTGCAGTTTTCTACTAAGTTTGGGTTGGCTTTTTTGGTTCATAACCAGTTTATTTTTTAATAATAATTGAATAACCTCAAAATTTATGAAAGCTTACATAGTATTTGATAAAAAAAAGTAACATTGCTATAGTTCTGATACAGTTCTGGACAGCTGGTAGTTTTCGATGCATTTTTGTGCATTTTTGTCTTATGGGCATGTGTATACTGTATGCTAACTTCCTGTTAAATTTGAATACTTTGTTTATAAAGTACCTCAGAGAACTATTTCAGCACTTTTCAGTATATGTGCTACTGAATTGAGCACTATTTTAGCCCTTTTTAATACAATTATAGACTAGCTAATCAGATATAATAAACATTACATATCTTATTATCTGTGGTTTACTTATTGGTACTTACATACATGGTAAAAATATCAAAGTAACCATGAGAAAGTTAAACACATATTGATGGTAACCATCACCTCTTAGGAGAGGGTTGTAAAGACATACTACTTTTAAAAATATTTTCTGATGGGGCTGGGGATTTAGCTCAGCAGCATAAGTGCAAGTGTGTGGTCGTGAGTTTGATCCCCGCTACTGATAAAAAAAGAAAAAGACAAAAATTTCTGCTTTGTGTAGTGAATATTCTCCCTTAAAAAGCATGTTGAAAATTGGACAAATATGGAGTTAGTTATACTGCTGTTTGCAAGCCAAATAGTGAAAGTCAGGTTTATGATGGTGGCAGGTGTCATTACAGCCCCTAAAATGAATGAAATACACAAAAGTGGTCGTGGAGTTCTGCACCATGGGCAGGTTAGGGTCCTGCACTTCCTACAGGGGTGTAATATGTGCTGTTCGTTTAATGACTTGAGAGTTGCTTCTGGAAGACTAGGCACCTGTGGGAAGATAAGTGTTTGGAAAGCAGCAACTGGGCCTCCCAGTGCATTAGCAGCTAATAGAGGCAGTGGAGGATAGGTAACCTAGCACATTCCTGCCCATGAACGCATTCTAAAGACACCAGCAGTAAGGTGCATTCAGCTTGCACCGTGTCTTTACCAGAAGAGATTCAGAGCTCTAAAAAGTCATTGTTTGAAATCTCAAAGCCAAAGATAATTGTGCTAAAAGAAAAACAAAAGGCCTTTCTCTAATTTAGCTTGATTCATATGTGTCTTGCCTGTCTAGCTTGGAGTTTGAATGCAGAGGACTCCAGCTGTAGTGTGTGGAAAATGTCCTTTTCATTCACCTGAGATTTCAAATACTTAGGGAGAATGTGCTTAATTTTGGAGTGGAAGGGTAGTGGTGATATGGGCTCGTGGAGGGAAGGGGTCACAGAGACTTGGGGTGACTTGATGTTTGAGACACTGCAGCGCAGAGAGGAGGTGGGAGCCAGTTCTCCCCTGGAGCTGTGGTCTGAGAGATGGTGACAGAGTACAAAGGGACATTGTGTAAAAATATGAGGAACTTAAACTATAGAGATTCAAGGGCACAAAACACAAGTTGGCATCCATCAGCAAATACACTCTTTGCTTAGAGACCCCCAGGGTTAATTGGAATGACTTATAGACAGTCTCTTTGTAACCCCAGTGAATGGTTTCTTCCTGTGACCCCACTCGTTCCTGGAACAGTTGAATGCATTGTGCCCTCCTCAGGTGATGGTGCATTCTTCAGTTTCTTCCTGTGTGGTGACCCAGAGAGTTTTACCTACTTTCACAGTGAAACTTAGTACCCCTGATGCTAGCACAGTGTCTTTGTTTTTCACTTTACTATGAGGAAAAACTCTGATTTCTTTAAAGCAGCTTTTTTTCTTCAAAATAAATGCTGTGATGACCAGCATTCTATAGTTACTAATTGTCACAGAGTAATTCAGCATCTGAGTGCTTCTCAGAATGTTGTAGAGTAGGTTCCGCTCTGTATATTCTTTTTTAAATTTTTTTTTAAATTTTAAAGGGAATAAAACAATAATAAAATCAAACAAAACAGTGATAGAATAGTAGGAAGTCCATAGTAATTACTATATGGCATATTATTGACCTCTAAATAGTTACTCAGACTACTTTAGGCTTGCAAAGTCAATCAAACAATACAAGCCTTAGATTGTTTCTTCACTTTGGTTGTTATCATCTCAGCCTGTGTTCCTCTGAATCAGCCTGTTGCTTACTGGTGCGGGTTCTTCTCTCCCAGCCAGTGCACCAGCTGTCTGAGATGGGCGTGGCCTCTTTCCTGGTTCTCCCCAGGTGTCAGGGTCACCGCTGGCTCATACAGGGCTACATAGCTTCCTTCCTGTTTCTTCCCAGCCGGTGAGGCTGCCGCTGGCACATGATAGGCTGCAAAGCTTCCTTTGTTTCACCCTGATTGGCAGGGCCGCTGTTGGTGCATGGGGGCTGCAAACCTTCCTTCCTGTTTCTTCTCAGCCGGCAGGGCCACCATTGGTGCACCGAGGGCTGCGTTGCACATTCCTTCTTACACAGGACTTCTAATTAGCAGGCCCCATGAATTGACCACACACAGATCACATGCTCCTCCGTTAGCTGGAAGGTTGTGACCTCACTGCAGAACATCGGCACCACTGACACACATAACAGTGCACATACGTTTTGGAGGGGTGATACTTGCTGATCAACTTGCAGCCAGAGAAGCTGTAAGTGATATTCTTGGTCTCCTGCAGCTGACATCCACGTAGTCTTGTTCTGGATACCCGGCAGGCACTGCTCTCTGGGTGCAGAAATCTGAAGTTGCCACTCTGCATCCCCAGGATGCTTCTGTGGAAGGCTTGTCCTTCCCCAGTGCTGCCTCTGCCTTTGCACTTCCCATTCAGGCTGGCCTGCTGCTGCATTTTTTGCATCACAGGCATTTTTTGTTCTAAAGATTCCCTGTCTAAAAGGCAAACCGCAAGACTTGCCAGCAAAATGGCTTTAAAGGTGGAAGTTGACTCCAGTTGTGAAAATGAGCTCTTTGCCAGTGAGGAGCATTATCTCCCCCTGCGGGATGCTGGAACCCTGTAGGGGATGCTCACGGCAGTGTGATGTTGTGCAACTGGTGTGTGAAATGCTGCCCACAGGCAGGTTGGGCCAAGCTCACTTCAGTGCGCAGAACAGAACCAAAAGTGAGCACAAAGGCAGAAGCCATCACCCTCCAGGACTGAGGCATGCAGTCCTGAGGCCACAGAGTGCAATAGGATGTGTGCTGTCCCTGCAGGAAGAACCACTGTGAGCTGGAGAGTGACAGGCATTTCATCTCTACCACTGCGCCCCACAGACCCAGGTGACAAGCGTCATAACCGGGTGTCAGGGATGCAGCAATCGGGGATGTCTCTGAGACTTCACTGGATAAGGTCTCTTGAGTCTGGGTAGTTGGTATGGTAGAAAAGAACAAAGAATGAGTCTCATCTCCTCTTTTAGGTGAGTAATAGGAGCACTGTTTTGTTTTCAGTGTTTCCTAAGTTAGGCCAGCTAATATCTGGAAAGTGCTGTAGATGGAAAATAGGTATTCTGATTCGACATCTGGGACTATAACACTCTAAAAATTACACCCTATTTAAAATGTAAAGTGACGTCCAAATTTTCCTTTTCCCATCATTATCTCTCCTGCATGACCTCAGAGTACTCCCAGGCATTTCTGTCATGGCTAGTGCACAGCATCCCTTTTCTGGTGTCTGTAGCCAGGTTGCTCAGGGCATTGCTGGCACTGTCACTTGTGTCATCCCCCCTTCAGCCCTTCCTCCCATCACTCTGCCTGAGGCTTGGATTGCACACTGTCCGCGCACCATCTCCTTCAAGCGTTGCTGCAGCTCACCTCCTTCTCCCCTTCCTGGAGTCCCATCCCTGTCGCTGCCTCACACCCATTCTTCACATGCCATGTACATCTTCGAGCCTGGCTTGTGTGTGTGCTGCTGTCACATTAGCACAGCACACTGATCACCCACTGTTCTCCTTCCTACACGCACATGGTCAGTGCCAGCTTCTCAGTGACCGACATCTGCTTGAACTTTCCATATTGCTGACCTTTAGCTCAGGGCTTCAAGGGAG